AGTACAGTGACATTTCTTTGCCTGGGTTCCCACCCTGAGGTCGCACCCTTCAGGTGCACACTTCCAGACAAAGAGGGTTTTCTCCCCTAAAATTAGGTCTTGTTCTTCTCCTCCCCCACCTTCTTTCTATCAATATCAAAAGAAAACATTATGCAAAACCTTAGCCCAGAGTTCGGAAGATTAATTTCCTTTCACAAAGATGTACAGCATAGTACCAGGCACTATAGAGGCTACAAAGATTAACAGAAATTCTACTCATAAACGAGGAAGAATATAATAATGGCTCTAGGGTCGCCTGGGTGGCTCAGTGGGTTAAAGCCTCTGCCTTCGGCTCAGGTCATGATCCCAGGGTCATGGGATCGAGCCCCCGCATGGGGCTGTGTGCTCAGCAGGGAGCCTGCTTCCTCCTCTCCCTGCCTGCCTCTCTGCCTACTTGTAATCTCTGTCTGTGAAATAAATAAATAAATAAAATCTAAAATAATAATAATAATAATGGCTCTAAAAGAGACGTTCAGAAGATCAAAAGATGTCTGACGATGACGCGCCCACGAAGTCGCCTCTGTGCTGCTTATGTATCAATTCCGTGACCACAGACTCGCCAAGTAGTTTGCCTGGCGACTCCGTTCCTCCTGGCCATCTCTGCAGCCTCTCATACACTCACTCCTGCGCCCTTTCTCGCTAGAGGTGTGAAACTACATCTCCCGAAAGGCCGCGTAGTCCCCTTCCTTCCTCCCTCTCCCGGTTCCGAGCCATGGCAACGGCGTGACGTGGGGGTACTGGGAGCTGTGGGAGCAGCGGTCGCGGCTTCAGTTCTAGGCTACCCCGCCGCCCGGGCGGGAGCAGGGCGAGAAGAGCTGCAGCCCCGAGGCGCTCCTGTTCTCGGGGACCCTGAGCCCGCCCGGCGGCAGCTTCCTGCCTCTTTTCCTCCAGAGTGAGGAGGGCGCAGCGGGGGTCAGAGCCCAGAGGGCAAGGGAGGTTCGGTCCCGCGCATGGCCTCGGCGGGTGCGCGGCGGCTCCCAGCCCGGACGCGCGCGGCGGCCCAGCGTTGCTGCGGCTTCACGCTCCGCCCGGGCACGCGCCCGGCTCCGCCCCAGGGCCCTCCGCGACCGCCGCGTCCAATGAGGTGAGAGGGAGGTGCAAGCGTCTGCGCTGCTGGCAAGGGGGTCGCCCAGGGGCCCCAAGTTCCACTGCGGAGGCTTGCAACCCTGGGGTGCGGGCGCGGCGTGGGGCGGCAGCGGTCTTACCCATGGGTCTCATGTAGAGCTTTGGGGAATGCTTTTGCAAGTGATTCGCAAGGGGAAGTACCCGGGATGGGTGCCCAATCACTACGTGCCCCTCGCGGGCGCCTTGGCAACGCCCGGCTTGGCAAGGCCCCAGAGACTGGGATACTTTCTGAGTCCTAGCTTTTAACAGTATCGTAGCCCACACTCCAAGGCAACTACGCTTCGCATGCACCCCACTTTTCCCCGTCTCCTCCCCCGGCACTGTCCTCAACCGCCCTCGACCTTTCGCACTCGTGACTGCCTGGCAAGGGAGCCTGTCGGGCTGCAGCAGGTGCTGGGGAAAAGGCTTGTGTTTGTTTGTATGACCTTCCGCTGGGATGTACCCCCACCCCCTTCCCCCTTCCCCTGGGAATGGTTGAAGAATACAAAGAATCTTGACATCCTCTCTCCTTTCCTTTTGTAGATTTCTGATGTCTTGTAGCCTTTTCTTGCCCCGGGCTGCCCAGGTCTTGGGGGCCGAGGTTAGCTTACCTCCCACGCGCTCCTTCATGGGCTTTGCTGCCCCCTTCACCAACAAGCGAAAAGCTTACTCTGAGCGTAGGATCATGGGGTGAGCATCCTCCCCTGTCCAGCATTCTTCCATATTCCCTTCCTCCCCAAACAAATGATTAAATCCAAGCTAGAATGTAAGGGTAGCAATAGTGGGCAAGATTCATCCCTGGCCATCTCTCTTCCAAGCTATTATTACTGATCCTTTATCCTTCTCTGCCAGCCTTCCAACCTTAATTTCCCTCTTCTTGGTTTCCCTGCATATGCATTAAGTGAAACGGGATTAGATTTGGACAATATAAGACAACAGAGTATTATTTCTCTGCCGACCTTTTAAATGTATTTGTGGGCAGGATATAATACTAACACTTACTGAGCACTTGCTACTGCTAGTAGTTAGGCTACTCAAATGTTTTAGGTAGGTTTTCTCATTTGATCCTCTCAAAAGACCTATGAATCAGGTACTATTATTAACTCTTATTTAGGGATGAGAAAACAGAGGCACAGGTAATTTACTTAGGACTACATTTTTGGAAAGTTGTGGAGCTAGGTTCTGAGTTCCTGTGTGATCACCAGTAAAATTGATAGCGTCTGTTCCCCCTAAATGATCCCTGTTAGGATCAAAATAGATAATAAATACAAAAGCATTCTGTGAACTGCAAAACATAATTTTAACATCATGGAAATTTCCATGTTTGTTTTTGGGAAGTCATTCATCCAGGCTTCTTTGGGATCTCTAGTTCTTGAAGGTGAATGGTTGGTGGGCAAAGGCATGGGTAGGGGGAGGGCAATTAGGGCAAGGAGGAACCTGACCCAGCTGACAGTCCCTTGGCCTCTCTCTGATTCCTTCCATTAGGTACTCAATGCAGGAGATGTTTGAAGTGGTGTCCAATGTCCAGGAGTATCGTGAGTTTGTGCCCTGGTGTAAGAAGTCCTTGGTGGTATCTAGCCGTAAAGGTCACCTGAAGGCCCAGTTAGAGGTTGGCTTTCCACCTATTGTGGAACGTTATACCTCTGCTGTTTCCATGGTCAAACCTCACATGGTCAAGGTGAGGCTCTGGAAAGGATTAATTAGCAAAGTTTTTGTGTTCTCTAGCGTTTTTACATGTAAGGGCTATTTTGGCCTTCTTTGTAATGACTGTATCTCCATGTGTCAAATACTCTCCTAAAAAAACATTAGAAGGAAAAGAAAACATTTCTTACAAACAAACCCTCCTCTACCTACTATAGCTTTTATCCCACTGTAATATTATTTACCTGACTGCCCTCTTCTAGGCTGTTTGCACTGATGCCAAGCTCTTCAACCACTTAGAGACCATTTGGCGATTTAGCCCTGGTATTCCTGCCTACCCCCGAACTTGCACTGTGGACTTTTCGGTGAGTCAAGAGGCTGTGTAGCATAGCACTACAACTGGTTTGTGAGAGTTGAGCAGAGGTACTATGAAAGTTATTAAGTATAGCTAGCACTTAGCATTTCCCAAGTCAATGACACTTTCTACAGGTCTGAGATTATATCAGACTTGTACTCTGTGCTCAGTCCTAAGTAACGGCTTTTGAAGGGATCTAAGGAACTGGAGTGGGAGGGAAAGAAAACACACTGAATAGTAAGTATCCTTGTGTTTGGCCAGGAACTATCCAACATGGTCCTGAGTAGTTTCTGTCTGTCTCTTACCTATTCCAGATTTCCTTTGAATTTCGTTCTCTGCTGCACTCCCAGCTGGCTACCATGTTTTTCGACGAGGTTGTCAAGCAGAATGTCGCTGCCTTTGAGCGTCGGGCAGCTACCAAGTTTGGTCCAGAAACAGCCATCCCCCGTGAACTGATGTTCCATGAGGTGCACCAGACTTGAGGCAGGATTGTTCCCTGGCCTCTTCTCTACTTTCCCTCCCAACCAATTCTCTTATTTATTTCATTTGGCTCCTGCTCCAATCTAAGGGAAGAGTCTGTGTTCATACTGATGTTCTCCCTCTCACTTCCCCAGAAATTGGGTTATAAGCTGGCTGGAAATGCTGGGGCAGAAAGGCAGGAGGTTATGGAAAGGAGACATGCCTAGGAAATGGTCAGGCTCATCTTGAGAGCCCCATATGCCTGATGTCTGCAGCCTACCTACAATGAATTATAATCAGGACAGTTGGTTGTCTCTGGACCCTGTCAAAGTGTCTTAGTATCTGACCAGGGGAAGATAGCAACTTTCTAGAGAATGAATAAACTGAGCTTTTTCCTCTGACAGAGGTACTGAGTGGTCGATAACTGTTGCCTGCCTGAGATGCCTCAGGAAATGCCTGAGATCTGGCCCCAGCTTGAAATCCATATGACCTCACTTTAAGAATATTTCCATGCTGCCTGGTTAGTGGAGAGTGAGGGTCTTTCTTAACATCAGTGCCCAGGGGCAAGGAGAAAAAAGCACTGAAGAGAATTGTACTCTTGGATTGTATCTTTTTCTTCTACTTGGCTGAGTTTTTATAAAATTTCAATAAATTAAATGTGACAGCATGAATTTAGCTTTTTTATACTGTCTTGGGGGAATGATGTGGATATACCAGAGTAGAAGAAAGTCATGGGTTCCTTCCTCAGGGGAATAAAGGTGCAAGAAGGCCTCTTGGACATAGTGTCCCTGCTAACTATAGTAGCACATTCTACAAGCCAGGACCTAGTACCCACTCCCTTGGCTATTTATAGACTTTTTCAGAAGGTCAGTTGTAGCAGGAGTCTCAGGACAGAATAATCTGGCATCAGATCTACCATATAGCTGATGGTCTTAGGACCACCTCTTACTTTGAGGACTTCCTTAGGAGACTGCAAAGAGGAGGCATTCCACACAGTACCAGAGCCCTCTAGTGGCTCAGATCCAGAGCTAGCAGTCCTCCTCTGTTTGCCCTTGGTATGGTTTTGTTCTTTTCACCCAGTGGGCTGCACCAGTTTCCTTGGATTAGTCACATATGCAGTTGTGAGGTCTCAGCTACGGTCCTCGAGTGTTCTATCTTACAACAAAATTAGGAAGGATGGGGGGCTAAAGGTCAAGGACTTTTAACCCTGAGGAAAAACAGAACTCTTCTTTGGAAATTTCACAGGGACCCTGTCTTATTAGGGTAAATGAATGTCAAATCCACGTAAAGATAAAGGGATGTATAGGGTAACTTAGAACCCACTTAGTCTAGGATCTTGCTAGCCAGAATCCTTAATTTAAAACAGAGATTCTTACAGGCCTTATTTAATAGTAGGCTCAAGCATTGTTAATAAAAACATTTATTTTGCATTTTATACAGAACAACCTGAAGTCTGGATCATGACTTGACAGTTACCCAGGGGTATACAGACAATGTGTCCATCTCAGCGTGGTTCTAGGGATTAGGGATCCACACAAACACAGGCAGGAGTTGCAAGAGAGGAAGGGAGCACAGTAGGAGTGTATTTCAATCCTTTCTTAAAGAAAAGGCAGTAGAGCATTCTGAGTCACTGAAAACCTGTGCAAATGGGGCTTCTAAAAAACGAACACTGTACTGTGAGCTCTTAGGGAAGGGGCTGGATAAGGAACTTGATAAATAAAGGGATATTTCCTGGTAGCAGGGAAAGAGAAGGGAAGCCTATTATTAATGTTCTCAGCCCCAGGACCTGATATTCAAAGGAAACCACAGCCAATCTTAAATTTCCCTGCTCAGAAAGAAGTACCCATATCCCTGGAACCAGACTATGAAGATACCATACTAGTCATTCCCAAGTCCTTATTCAATGGCCCACAGCATATTAAAATAAAGGGGGAAAAAAGTCAGAAGATAGTGGCTTGTGTTCCACGGAAGTGAAAACTCAGTTCATGTTAAGCACTGATAAAGCCAAATGACTGGGAAGGACCACAGCTCAGACAGTGGCATATACAACCTGCTGAAAGAGGTCTCTAGTGACGACCAAGAAGGGGAGATCCGGAGAACCTTCAGCTTGAGGTGCAGCAGGTATAGAAAATCTGCAAGGAGGGTCATATTAAAGTAGTGGAGAAAGAACACTCCAGATCTTAATTTTCATGGGATAATTTAAAAAATCAAATACTGGGTGCCTGTCACAATGAATGCCATGGCCTTTATGGTCACCTGGTAGCATAAAAAAAGTGCCAAAGATGTTCGACTAACCACAGGTCTTGCTAGGAAGTGTCTGTGTGCATGGGAGAGAGCAATGGGGTTTGATAGAGCTGACAATCCAACATGATTCCTATGGAAACAGAAGAGGCCAGAGTCCTGATTTGCTGGCCTCTGGAGGGCTAGAGAGAGTAGAACCAAAAGCTCTGAAGTGGTTGCAGAGAATCTGCAGCTTCGACCCAGGCAAAGGAGAGCGAGATTCTCACTCTAGAGTTGGTGGGGGGCCCAAACCTAACCCATACCACATGCACTAGTCCTGGTCACCCTACAGTTGATGGGCAACTCACCAGGCAGGAGAAAGGTACTGGCTGGGGAAGAAGGGGTTACTTTTTATCTTTTAAAGTCTTAATTTATATTTTAACCTCAAACTTATTATCAGTGCCTCAGATACAATTTAATCTTAAGTCTTAAAAAGCCCCCTGAAACAAAACAAAATTATACTTTTTTTAAAGCTCCCTCACTTTCTGATAGTTTCCCCCAGTCTTCAGTTTTACCCTGACTTAGAGTCCACAAACTTCATCAGACCATCCGTGCTCATGGACTTGGGCCTCTCTAGTGGGAAGCCTAGGGCTCGGCTCCAGATGAGTTGTGCCAGTACACCCAGTGCCCGTGACACCCCAAACAGGACTGTGTAGTAATTCATCTCTGTCATGCCATAGTACTGTAAGATAAGAGAGAAAAAAGTTTTGTTAAAGGCCCCGGGGTAATGGCATGCACAAGTCCCAGGTGATAGTAACCTAAACCAACTCAGCCTTCAACAGAAATGACACTATGTAAAGTACAGTAACTAGGATTCTGAAAAGAGAACAGCCCTTTCCTCTTGCCTGCACCTGCCCTCTGCCATACGCAACTTTATCAAAAGAATAAGGAAGAAGGCATCAGTCCTTGCTCTGACTAGTCCTTGCTCTGATTTTCTGCATGGCAGAGAACATTAACGTTTGGCACAAATTAAAGGAAATGTAGGGAAGGGAAGACTCACCTGGAGCAGCACTCCACTGTGAGCATCTACATTGGGCCAAGGATTCTTGGCCTTGCCCTGCTCTAACAGGACATTGGGCACAATCTTGTACAGCTGAGCAACCAGCTTAAACATGGAGTCATGAGGCAGGTGTTTCAAAGCAAACTCTCGCTGACAGGTATATCGTGGATCAGTCTTCCTTAGTACCGCATGGCCATAGCCTGGGACAACCTGCAAAGAGCAAGGGTAAAAAGCCAGTTGTACTCTCAAGTAGAAGTTCTTGTCTTTTCTAAATTCTTCAGGATAGACAAATATGGGGGCGGGGGGAAGTCTCTAACTTAGGGGACCTCTTTCATTCTATTCTTTTTTTTTTTTTTAAAGATTTTATTTATTTATTTGACACAGAGAGAGATCACGAGTAGGCAGAGAGGCAGGCAGATAGAGAGGGGGGAAGCTGGCTCCCTGCTGAGCAGAGAGCCCAACGTGGGGCTCGATCCCAGGACCCTGAGATCATGACCTGAGCAGAAGGCAGAGGCCTTAACCCACTGAGCCAACCAGGAGCCCCATTCTATTCTTTATTCTTCCAAATTGTACAATTTGGGTCTTGGCTTCTTTCCTAGCTGCTAAGCATCTCTGCTTACCCGTCCTGAGTTGAGTGTGTTCCATATGTAGTCTCGTAACTTCTCATCTGACACATCTTTGCCAACTTCTTTCTGTAGTTGTGTCAACCAAACAAGTACTTCCTGTGGGTAAGGTTTAGGGAATAAGATAGTATCAATACATATGCCAGGAGAGAATGCCAAGATCAGAAGCATGGGAGTAAGAAAAACAGGGAGCAGGAAAAGAAAAGGAGTCTTACCTGATTTGCCAAACCATGCAAGGGCCCTGCTAGCCCGTTCATGGCTGCTGCAAAGGACAGGTAGGGGTCTGAAAGGGCACTGCCCACCAGGTGGCTAGTATGGGCACTTACATTGCCTCCCTCATGGTCACTGTGGGGGAAGTAAGAAAGGAGAAAAGCTCTGGTAAGAGAAGTCCCAATCTCATTACCAGCCTTTGTTCACTAATCCACAGGGCTGGAGAGGTCACTGGTTGATGATGCCTGTGTGCCAAGATCCCACACTCTCACTCCAGCTTTAACAGCAATGGCCAGAAGAGGGAGCTCCTGGAAAGCTGAAAGATCACCTACTGCAGCAACTAGCACCTTTCCCAAGCTTCTTAGAAGCATTACTTTGTTCTTATCGTGGTTATGGTAATTTCCCCACACCTCTGGACTTCCTTTACTAGACTCCTTTTTTGCCTTGTGTGATCCTATGCCATGTTTCCATCTCCTTGTTGCCTGCCACCTGTTCCCAGAAGATGAGAATGTTAAGGAGCTTTTCTTAAAATTTTCTACCAACCCAGGCATCTGGTAGCTGTGGTTGCTGGGTCTAGCTTACCTGTGGATGGTGAGGTACAAGCGCATGAGCTCAGTGAACTGAGCATCGGTATAGCCTAACATGTTGGTGAAATTGTGGGACCAGTCCAGCTTAGAGTCAATGGCCCCAATACTGCTGCCCTCCCGGTAAAGATTCCGGTAGATCTTTGCTGCAACACAAGGTAGCTTTGCGATCAGATCCATACAATCTTCATAAATCAACTGAGGAGAGAAGGAAAATGGAGAAAAAAGAAAAGAATATATCAACAAAAAAGAATTAGGCAAGGATGCTCTTTGTCCCCCATGGATTGGTTGATGGTGTTATGCTCAGCAATTATATACGGAGGCTAACAACAATAACTATTTAACCAAATAATTTTATGATCCAGGCTCTGCACTAAGGGATTCACACACAGGATCTCATGTATGTCTTGTGTATATTAAAACATTATTTCTAGGGACACGTGGGTGGCTCAGTCGTTAACCACCTATCTTCAGCTCAGGTCATGATCCCAGGGTCCTGGGATCAAGCCCCACATCAGGCTCCCTGCTCCGTTAAGAAGCCTGCTTCTCCCTCTCCCCCTGCTTGTGTTCTCTCTGTCAAATAAATATACTAAATAAATAAATAAATAAACCACATTATTTCTGGGGTGCCTGGGTGGCTCAATCACTTAAGTGTTTGCCTTAGACTCAGGTCATGATCCATGAGTCCTGCAATTAAGCCCCACATTGGGATCCCTGCTCAGCGGAAAGCCTGCTTCTCCGTCTCCCTCTGCTGCTCCCCCAGCTTAAGCTACCCCCCAAATAAATAAATCTTAAAATACCCAAATCTTAAAATAATACCCAAATCTTAAAATAATAATACCCAAATCTTTAAAAAATACCCAAACAAATAAAATCTTTTAAAAAAATTTCCAATTTTTACCACATAGTGACCTCTATTTTAAAGGTGAGGGAACTAAAGCTCAGAGCATTCAGTTAAATGCCAAAGTCAGATTTTAAAAAAAGATTTATTTATTTACTGGTGGGGAGGGGCAAAGGGAGAGGGACAGAGAATCTCAAGCAGACTCTCCACTGAGCATGGAATCCCATGCAGGGGTCGATCTCATGACCCTGAAATCAGGACACCTGAGCCAAAATCAGAGTCGGATACCTGACTAAGCCACCCAGGCGCCCCCAAAGTCAGATTTTGAAGCCTTTTACATGTAATCATGATCCTTCCCAGTACATGACTCAATGAATGAGCTAAGACACTAGGTTTGAACAATTAATTCTATGTTCCACCTTACAAAGAAAATTCACCATATATGCCAAGGGTCAAACAGTGGCATTCAATTGTTAGTTAATAACAAAGGCTTTCATTTTTTTAAGCACTTATTATATAATAGGCACTGTGGTATGTTATTTGCATTTTTTTTTCTTTTCTCACAATAGTCCTGTAAGGTAATACATCCTTCATTTTATAAATGAAGAAATTGGGGCTTGGCCAGGTCAAGTAACTTGCCCAAAGTTACCCACTCAGCAAAGTTACCCACAAGCATCATGTAGCTTAAACAATTAGCTCATGGGCATTTTTGTTTCATCACACCCTTACTTTCTCCTCCCAAATTACTTTGAGTAAATTCCAGAGATTATATACTCCAACACATAAATATTTAAGCATATTATCTCTAAAAGATAAAGGCTATTGATAAATAAAAATCATAAAACCCTTATCCCACAGTAAAAAAATTAAATCCTCAATATCATTAAGTATCTACTCCGTATTTAAATTTCCCTGATTATAAAGCCCTCCACCTCATTTATTTGATTCAGGACTGAAAACAGCCCACATTGCAATCATCTCATGCTTCTCTGAAGTCTCTCTTTCTCTTTTTTTTAAAAGATTTTATTTATTTATTTGACATGCAGATCACAAGTAGACAGAGAGGCAGGCAGAGAAAGAGAGGAGGAAGCAGGCTCCCCACTGAGCAGAGAACCTGATGCGGGGCCCAATCCCAGGACACTGGGATCATGACCTGAGCCGAAGGCAGAGACTTTAACCCACTGAGCCACCCAGGAGCCCCTCTGAAGTCTCTTTTAATCAATGTTAAGCTCCCCCTTGTGCTCTTTCTTTCCCTTTTTTTTTTTTTTAAAGATTTTATTCATTTGACAGAGACACAGCGAGAGAGGGAACACAAGCAGGGGGAGTGGGAGAGAAGAAGCAGGGTTCCTGCAGAGCAGGGAGCCCGATGCAGGGCCCAAATCCAGGACCCTGGGATCCTGACCCGAGCTGAAGGCAGACCTCCAACGACTGAGCCACCCACATGCCCCTCTCTCCCTTTTTTAACTTTGCAATTTATTTGTGGAAAATTGGATCACTCATTCTGGAGAACTTCCCAGTTTAGATTTTGCTGGTTATATACCTGTGATATCATTTAACGTGTTCCTCTGTCTACTGTATTTTCTACAAACTGAGAGTTAGATCTAAAGGCTTGAGTAGATTCAGGTTCAAGTTTTTTTAGGAAGACTACCCGAATGAGCAGCTGGTGATATATGGAAGTACTGAACCACTATATTGTAAGCTGAAACTAATACTACACTGTACGTTAACTAACTGAAATTTAAACTTAAAAAAAGACTACCTGATAAATAGCGTTGTGTTCATTTATTAAGAGAAACATAGAAAAAGAAAAAAGAGAAACACAGTTGGTAGAGCATAAGACTCTTAATCTTGGGGTTATAAATTCAAGCCCCACACTGGTTGTAGAGATTACTTAAAGATAAAATCTTTTGGGGTGCCTGAGTGGCTCAATGGGTTAAGCCTCTGCCTTCAGCTCAGGTCATGATCTCAGGGTCCTGGGATCAAGCCCCATGTCGGGCTCTCTGCTCAGCAGGGAGCCTGCTTTCCCCTCCACCCCGCCTGCCTCTCTGCCTACTTGTGATCTCTCTCTCTGTCAAATAAATAAAAATAAAACCTTAAAATTAAATAAATAAAATCTTTTTTTTTTTTAAATTTTATTTAGTTACTTGACACAGAGAGAGAGAGAACACAAGCCAGCAGAGTAGCAGGTAGAGGAAGAGGGAGAAGCAGGCTCCCTGATGAGCAAGGAGCCTGACATGGGGCTCGATCCCAGGACCCTGGGATCATGACCTGTGCCGAAGGCAGTTGCTTAACCAACTGAGCCACCAGGTGCCCCAAATAAAATCTTTTTAAAAAAGATAGAAACATATAATCTAGCCACCTGTGATATTAATAGCTTACTCAACTCTTATGTCTCAATTTTATCTTCTCAAAGGGATTTTAAGTTCCTTAGGGACAAGACAGGATTTTGGCATTTTCTTTTTTAAAATAACTTTGAAAAGTATCAAATAGTGAATTTTGTCAGTGCCGCTGGATTCAATAAGTTAAAAGGCTACTTGAAGCAAGAAATACTCAGCCTAACAATTGCAAGTTCTCAGGAGATTACTTAATATGACAATCATACTATTAACTATACCTCCTTTATATCCCCCAAGGAAGTAGGTTACTTCCAGAAGCCTGCATCAAGTATATGCAGTTCTAAGAGACCTGGATGGATTAGCACAATGCCAAGAACAGAATCCTGGGCTAGACAAATTGTTATCCGTGGTATATATACTAACTTGCAAAACTATTTGGAAGGTATGGATGGCCACATCAAAAAGAAGACACATAAAGGAGATTGTGTGTCAATTTCCACTACTGAGAATGAAGTTTATAAACCAACATGTATCAGACCAGGTATGACAGTGTGGGATCCTTACTATGGTCAATGCTGTATAGTCAAGAAAAGATCAACACAAAACAAAACAAAACAAAATGACAGAAAACTCCTGCTATTTATTTTTTAATAAGCTAACACTGAGGTGCTATTAGCTATTTGTACCAACACATTCTTCATCAAGCCTTGGAATTAAAAAGACAATTAAGACATGCCAACATCACAACTATCTGGAATAAAGATTACAAAGCTGACTATAATCATCAACGTGAGCCAGCATCTCCATGGCTACCAAAATCCTGGCCAGGTAGTTAGCTTTCAATCATTTTTAAGGAGACAAAGAAAAAGAAGAAAGCTAGTATTAAGGGTGGAGAGCCCCCAGAGTGAGGGAAACTCAAGTTTGAATCTGGTCTCTATCACTTTTAGCTGCAAGACCTTGGGCTACTCAACTTCTCTAATCCTGAGTTTTCCCATTCAGTAAAATGAGAATAACAAATAACATCTACCTCATAGGGTTGTTCTGAGGATTAAATTTATTAATTAGATTCCTCCTCTCTCTCTCTCTGCCTGCCTCTCTGCCTACTTGTGATCTCTGTCTGTCAAATAAATAAATAAAATCTTTAAAAAGAAAGAAAGAGGGGCACCTGGGTGGCTCAGTGGGTTAAAGCCGCTGCCTTCGGCTCGGGTCATGATCCCAGGGTCCTGGGATCGAGCCCCGCGTCGGGCTCTCTGCTCGGCGGGGAGCCTGCTTCCTCCTCTCTCTCTGCCTGCCTCTCTGCCTACTTGTGATCTCTGTCTGTCAAATAAATAAATAAATAAAATCTTAAAAAACAAAAAAGAAAGAAAAAAAAAACAGTATGAATTGACTGATGGCTCTAGTAAAAACTCAGGTCATACATAAACTCCTTGACATAAATTTTTATTTTTTAATTTTTATTTATTTATTAGATTTTATTTATTTGTTTACCAGATCACAAGTAGGCAGAGAGGCAGGCAGAAAGGGGGAAACAGGCTTCCTGCTGAGCAGAGAGCCCAATGCGGGGCTTGATCCCAGGACCCTGAGATCATGACCTGAGCCAAAGGCAGAGGCTTAACCTACTGAGCCACTCAGGCGCCCCTCGACATAAATTTTCAAACAGAAAAAACCAGCCTAATGATGTCATGCATTTCTACTTAAGTAACCTATGGTTAAATTAACCAAGGCAGAGAACTGGATAGAAATAGTGTGTCTGACCACTGAGAGAGATACAACATGTAATAGCAAAAGAGCATGAAGCTTTACTGAACTAAAGCAGTTACCGGTGCTAGTGTTTGTGCAGTGTAAACTCATCAGACACATACCCTAAGGCTGACAAATACAACGGTACTGCTTATAAATACTCTCCAAAAGATCGGCAAAGTCCTGGAATATAACACATTCACCTCAAGACAACCACACTCACATGACATCTCATGAAGAGATAATGGCAGAACAAGCAATGATATACGTTGAAACAAGATTCATTTTAACAATTAAGTAAAGAATGGTATAAAGTAATGAAGCATGTTTGGATGCCTAGGAAATATCTTACAGACATCTACTGTAAAGCATGAAGAAGCTGTTTTCTCCCCGTCTCATGACAGTCAAGACAACAGCACTGTAAGCAGTTTAACAGCCGCATCTGTGTGGTAAATTTCTAAAAGACAAGTTTTACAATAGCAGAACTGCTCATCTCAATTTAACCTTTTCTGCTATGGTGACCCATATAAATAACAAGCTTGAATAGCATTTTAAAAAGAAAATGGAAAGCAATATATTCAGATTCTACAAACTTCTGAGCCTGCTGATGTATGGCTTTAAATACACTTTAAGCACTTATGAAAGTGGGTATTTTCCACCATTCCTATACCTTCCTTCTCAATGCCAACCAGACTAATTTCAAACCCACTCTCCCTCTTTCCCCCAATAGCAAACACAATTATTTATACACAGTTGGCACTGAGTAAATATTGACCAATCAAATGAAGGAGGATTTGCCAAAACCCCAAGAGGATGGCATCAGACCAGTGGGCGATGCATGCTCTTCTGTGCCAGGCATCAAGTGAACTCTTTGGGGGCTTTCTCCTGGTCAAATCATCTAATGTACCTGCTTTGCAAAAAGGAACTGATCTGTTCTGTATTATTTGTCTCCAAACAAGAAAAGAAAATGAGATGTCTTGCTGTAAACCTAGCCAGATAACTTGTCCTTTACCCAGTGTTTGTGGGTACCATGTGGGGTACTGGAAAGAGGACGGAAGGAATTATGTACTATGCATTTGGACAAGGCACAATAGTCTTCACATACTCAGACCAGTCTGAACTATTAAAATCACATTTCGGGGTGCCTGGGTGGCTCAGTGGGTTAAGCCGCTGCCTTCGGCTCGGGTCATGATCTCAGGGTCCTGGGATCGAGCCCCACATCAGGCTCTCTGCTCAGCGGGGAGCCTGCCTCCTCCTCTCTCTCTGCCTGCCTTTCTGCCTGTGATCTCTCTCTGTCAAATAAATAAATAAAATCTTTAAAAAAAAAAAAATAAAAAAAATAAAATAAAATCACATTTCATTTTCAGAAAATAAAGCTCATTTGTGTCTGGATCCCACTTCCAGGATACTAACCATCCTTCTGCTCCTGAGAGGTATCTTGAATGGGACAGTACAGAACACTGGCTGATTGGCATTAGTCCTCCTAGACTCTAGAACTGCCTTAGTGCCATTCACCTAACGTTCTCAAGGTTCTCCTTATTTGAAGAAGAAGAAGAAGAAGGGACTGTGGGGGGCTAGGGTGAGACTGCTCTGCGAAATCTTCCTCAGGGACCCTCCAGTTAAGTTACATCCTTTCCAGTGTTCCAACAGCCCTGCTTAATACCTCTATTACAGCAAGATTACTGAACTGTAATTTTTTTTACACATATATCACCCTAACCAAATCAATAAACTTGGTGATAGAAAGCATGTTCTATTTATCTGTGTAATCCTAAGGACTGAAAGAAAGCAAGCCTAAATAAAAATGTTAAATGAGCTTCTGGCATAACTCAGAGAAGTAGTTCTCCTAAAGATTCTACATTCCTTTTTCTTCCTTCACACTCAAGTTCTTTGAATCTCCACCACACATCAATCATTGCCATCAAAATTTCCTACCTCCCAGTACTTGGTTCGGTTGATACCCTCTGCGTATGCTCGGGCAAAGTTACTTTCACTGTTGAGGGCTGTAATAGCTGCACTGAGCTGAGACATGGGGTGTAGATTGGTGGGGAAGTTGTCCAGCATGGTGACCACATGGGAAGGTAGAGCTGCCCTCTTTGCCCACTCTTCTGAGAGCCAAGACACCTATGGAAAGGGAGACATTGCTCAGAACACTAGGCAAAGGAAAAGAAGAGAAATAAAAAGACAGTGACATCTGAGTAAAGAAAGTCCAAGAGAATTCAACCCAGTCCACTTATACAGCAGAACTCTGCTGTGATTCCTTCCCCTCACGACACATCCCTATAAACCACCACCCAGAGCCAGATCAGGATTAAGTGTCTGAGCTTAGAGAAAGGCAAAGGAGGAAGAGAACGAGAAGGGCCAATAGCTTTCTATTTTACCTGTTCCTCTGTTGGGATTTGTCCAGTTACCAGCAACCAAAATAAGCCCTCCGGCAGTGGCTCTTCCCCCCCTTTAGCCTTGGGCAGCAGTTTCTGGCATTCAGGGATACTATAGCCTCGGAAACGGATGCCCTTGAGAGAGAAGAGTAAGAGGTGCAAATCTTAAATTTATCAGCCTAGAAGTCACATAATTGACTACTCTCACTCTTATCAGACCTTTTAACAAGTTAGAATTTCTAAAGCTTAAAAAAAATTGTTTTTAAAAGCTTAAATCTTCACATGACTTAATTCTGTTTGGTACTTTTAGTTTTACTCATTGATATACTGAAAAAGTAGACTTAGTCTTCATTTATTCCATATGTACCTATTTTCCATCTTCCAAAACATGAAGGCAGATGCTTTGTTTTCCTTACCCTCACCAGTCTAATCCACGGTGTGCAAACAGTCGGTAAACTCACTGATTATTAGTGTTGACATAAGGGTCTCTCTTACCTCATCAGGATCAAGAACTGATGTTTCATATACTAATCCCTTCATGCCTCTCATGCCACCGTACATCTAAAAGAAAAAGACAAGATGTAACCAGTAGTCAGAATAACTCAGACTAGAGCTTGTCAATGTTTCACGAGATCTGAGAGATGAAATGTATTCTCTGACTTGCAACACTTCATTTTGGAAAGATTTCTGAGGAGTTAACTAAAAACTTTGCAAGGAAGACCACTGACATTGGAAATGAAAAGTTTAAGCTGAAAAATCATTATCTTTATCTAACTATCCAGTCTTATCTCTCATTCCCACCAACCAAAGGCAACAGAATGGGGTCTATAGGAGCGCTTGGATGGCTCAGACTTAAGGTTAAGCATTTGCCTTAGGCTCAAGTCATGGTCCCAGAGCCCTGGGATTGAGCTCCACTTTAGGAATCTCTGCTCAGCAGGGAGCCTGCTTCTCCCTCTCCCTCTGCCTACCCCACTCCTCTGCTTGTGCTCTCTGTCCAATAAGTAAGTAAAATCTTAAGAGAAAAAAAACAAAAACAAAAATGCGATCTATAACAGGAAAAGGAGATAGAGACCACAGGCTAAACACTGCTGTAGAATCATCATCTGAGCTGCTCAGACTCTTCGGACTGGAGAAGAAGCCGTCCTAAAACTGTTCTAATTGGTCTGCTAGAGCTGTGGTATAAATGCATGATCAGCACAGCATTAATTCTAATAGTACTGGCCCCAAAAGCTGAGGGGTTGGGAAGAAGAATAGAAACTTTATTCATCCCTCCCATAGATAAATTAGGTTAGGCTCAACTATTAAATTTACAGAAAAGAACAGTCTAATTTCTAATGAACATCATAAGTGCCAACATTTCCATATACGGGACAGGATGCTTGGATGCTTCTGAATAGTCAGTGAAGAGAATGGTATTTCTTGTTGAGGAACATTACAGAGCTCCTTTTTCCAGCCCAAATCCCATAATCTTTACCATGTCCACAGTGATCTGGCCCACTACCGTCTTGCCATGTTGCTGCCTGAAGGTCTTTATTCTGGCCTGCTCCTTAGGTATCAGGTCAGCCAATATATCTTTCAAATTCTAAAAAGAGAAATAGAGAAGTTAAGTGATGATCAAAGTGTTGATTATATTTTTCCTACAAAGTAGGTATGTTAAGACTGCTTTTTAAAATCTGGCTTTCTCAATCTGCCAGAGAAATCTGGTCAACTACTGTGCACAGATGAAGGTAAAAGAATTAGAGAGGGAGGGGAATGGAGAGCTTATTATTTAATGGCTACCTCAATTTGGGAAGATGAAAAGTTCTGGAGATGGACAGTGGTGACAGTTGTACAATAACATGACTGTACTTACTGTGACTAAACTGTACATGTTAAAATGGAAAACTTTCTGTTATGCATATTTTACTACAACTTAAAAAATTAGGCAAAAATATGGGGCGCCTGGGTGGCTCAGTGGGTTGAGGCCTCTGCCTTCGGCTCAGGTCATGGTCCCAGAGTCCTGGGATCAAGCCCCGCATCGGGTTCTCTACTCGGCAGGGAGCCTGCTTCCTCCTCTCTGCCTGCCTCTGCCTACTTGTGATCTCTCTCTGTCAAATAAATAAATAAAATGTTTAAAAAAAAATTAGGCAAAAATATTTGATATTTCCATCTCACTAACACTACTGAATTATTTCTTAAAATAATAATAATACTAATAGTTTATAACAACAATAACAACGGACACCTCTTAGAGTTATTTAGGATAATGATGAGAGGCTAGGTGGTAACCAACCGCTGCTCCCCACCCCACAATCCCAGGATCAGATTGCCTCAGTGATTCTCCTTTCCAAACCTTACCGTAGGGGAAGCGCTGGCATGCCGAGCAGCAAGAACAAGACAAGATGCATTCTGCAGAGAAAACACAAAACCTTATGCAACAGTTACTCTTCCCTCCTATAATATTAAAAAGGAGTTACAGTGACTCATCTCTTTTCATCTTAGCCTCCAAGGACAGTCTGACATAAAAAAGAGCTGTGAAAGGCCCTAAACAGCTTTGAAGGAGTTCCCAGTCTGGAGCAATAGCAGACCTAACTGTGTCGTGCATCCATAGCTTTAATAGCATTCCCTGAGGAGAGGCTCCTTCCCATCATCTGGGTTTCTGCCTGGGCTTTGTTAGGCACAGAAAAGGTCAGAGGGGCAATTGTTGGGAGTACAGAGGCCATCCCACTCTAGCTATCAATTGTTCTGGGTAGGCCTCAGAAAAGCAAATGAGGAAACTGATCAACTACCTCACTCTGCTGGTAAGACCTCTCCTGCATCTAGTCTTTTGGCAGCACTTCAACCCCTCCAGTCTAGGGCAGCCCAAAGGCAGAGGCCGCCTTTCACAGGTTTCTGGAAAATGCACAGAGAAAACAGAACACCTACAATGTAACAACAGAAAGACCACTCAAAAACAGCACTGGGAAACTAGAAAACTAGAAAATTACCTTTCAAGTGCTGAAAGAAAATAATTACGCTAAAGTTGCATATCCAGGTAAGGAAAAAGTCTCAAAAGAGGGCAAAAAAAAAGACATTTCAGAAAAACAAAAGCTGAGTTTATCACTGACACAACTGTACTAAAGGAATTTTTAAAGATATACTTCAGAACCGTAAAGACAGGTCTGAGATTCAAGGCTATTCTTCACTACAAAGATGAATAGTGTAGCTAACCTATGTTTTCTGTTTAGAGAGAGGTTTTATCCCCCCAAAAGAAAAGTTACTTTCTATGAGAAGACTGCTGAGTTGCAACAGAAAGTTCAACACTGCCTTTGAAAAAGACAACCAATTATACTACTAACCAGCTATAAAGTTTGACAAGATTAACTTTTCTGCACAAGATTATTTTGAAGATAAAATGAGACAGTCAAACTAAGCCTCAGTTTTCTCATCTATAAAACTGGTGTTAAATACCCACCACATATCTTACAGGTTGTCTTGTGATAATTAAATTACAATATTGTGAAAGCACTTTGCAAACTAAAAAGATTACATACACAGACAAACTAATCCAGTAGCAAGATCAAACCTTCCTTCTTTTTGCCAAAAGGCCAGATACACCTTTTCTTGTAGTAACTACTGCACTGTTGTTTGATTGTGCTAAAAATCATTTGAAGCCATAGTACTGTGTAAGTTCTAAAACACCACATGCCTAAGGTGAGAGTTCAGTAAGGCTGGAGATTTTTTAGAATTTAGTATTCCACCTTCTGTTGGGGCATCAGGGAATGCTGAAAAGGGAAGAGATCCTTCAGAAAAGCTGTGGGTTTTTTTGTTTGTTTTGCTTTTTTAGAGAAGGGGGAGGGGAAAAGGGTGAGGGAGAGAGAATCTTAAGCAGATTCTACGCCAAGTACAGAGCCAACTGGGGCTTGATCCCACCACCCTGAGATCATGACCTGAGCCAAATCAAGAGTGTGGAGACTACTTGAGATTCTGTCTCTCCCTCTGCCCCCCTCCCATTTTCCAAATGCACACACACACACACAGCCTCCCTCTAAAATAAATAAAATCTCCAAAAACTAACAAGATTAAAAAAATTTTAAAAAAACAACAACAATGAATTCAAAGCTAAATTCAGAGTACAAGGTAAGTTACTATGCCCCTAAAGTAAAGGGGGCTGCCTCAGCTTTGTTAACCAGGACTGTCTTTAACTCCTTTCATTAACTTCCTAAAGAGTCTCTTCTGGTTCACTGAGGACCATCTGGGCAAAAGTAGGTGGCACAAACAGGCCTTTAGTCTCTTCACCCTACAGGGGCAAATGGGAATTTGACCTAGCACCTAAGAAGTAATTTTACCTTTTCTTACTAGTCACCAAAAAGTGAACAAGAGAAAACATGAGAGTAAGTTCTATTCCACGCTCTGTGGTCCCACAGCTCCCCTGTTATAGAAGGGCCACCTCCCAGAGACTACATCAGCCCTGCAGCAGACCTTTCAACTGTGGGTGGTTGGTTGGTGTGGCAGTTTGGTTTTAAAAAGGCTACAGGGGGGACGCCTGGGTGGCTCAGTTGGTTAAGCCGCTGCCTTCGGCTCAGGTCATGATCCTGGGGTCCTGGGATCGAGTCCCGCATCGGGCTCCTTGCTCGGCGGGGAGCCTGCTTCCTCCTCTCTCTCTGCCTGCCTCTCTACCTGCTGGTGTGTACTCTCTCTCTCTGACAAATAAATAAAATCTTAAAAAAAAAAAAAAAAAAAAGGCTACAGGGGCACATATCATCTTAGAGAAAAGATGTTAAAATCTCCTCATAAATAATTTTTCCACTTTTAAATCATCTTTAAGTTTCTATAATGGCAGGGGTACCCTGCTGGCTCAGTTGGTAGAGCATCTGATTCTTTTATTAAAATATTTTATTTATTTATTTGACAGACAGAGATTACAAGTAGGCAGAGAGGCAGGTAGAGAGAGAGGAGGAAGCAGGCTCCCTGTAGAGCAGAGAGCCCGATGTGGGGCTCGATCCCAGGACTCTGAGATCATGATCTGAGCCAAAGGCAGAGGCTTTAACGCACTGAGCCCCCCAGGCGCCCCGAGCATCTGACTCTTGATCTGGGGATTGTGAGTCCTGCCCCACGTTGGGTGTAGAGATTACTTAAAAGTAAAATCTTTGGGGCACCTGGGTGGCTCAGATGGTAAAACATCTGCCTTCGGCTCAGGTCATGATCCCAGAGTCCTGGGATCGAGCCCCACATTGGACTCCCTGCTCAGTGGGAAGCCTGCTTTCCCTCTCCCACTCTTCCTGCTTATGTTCCTGCTCTCGCTCTCTCTCTGTCATATAAATAAATAAAATCTTTAAAAATAAAATAAATAAAATATTTAGGGACGCCTGGCGTGGCTCAATTGGTTAGGCATCTGCCTTCAGCTTGGGTCCTGATCCCAGGGTCCTGGGATTGAGTCCTGCGTCGGGCTCCCTGCTCCTTGGGGAGCCTGCTTCTCCCTCTCCCTCTGCTGCTCCCCCTGCTTATGCTCTCTCTGTCGAATAAATAAATAAAAATCTTGAAAAATTAAAAAAAAAATCTTAAAAAAAAAAAAGTTTCTACAATAGCTGGCTGGCTGTATTTTAAGGTTAAATCTTGGGGAGGGGGGAACCTATCCTCTTAGAGAAAAGATGTTAAATCTTTTTGATGATTTATGATTTAATGACCTTGTTGACCTATCCAAGGTCAACAAAGAGTGACTGTCCACATCTTAATTAAGATGAAAATGGAGGGGCGCCTTGATGGCTCACTGTTAAGCATCTGACTTCAGCTCAGGTCATGATCTCAGGGTTCTGGGATCGAGCCCCACACCGGGCTCTGCACTCAGCAGGAAATCTGCTTGTCCTTCTCCCTCTGACCCTGCCTGTCTCCTGCTCATGCTCTCTCAAATAAATAAAATTTTAGAAAAAAAAAAAAAAAAGAGGAAAATGGAATTTCCTCAGGCTGAAGTCCTTTCTTCCACGAATATGAATGTAAAACAGAACAAAAATAGTTTCTTTCCTCCTTGTGAGAGAACTGCTAGAATTAATGAGCTGCCCTCTTCTTTTACTTCAAGATAAAACAAACAAAAAACAGCCAAAAAAGAGGAAATCAGAAAGAAAAGGAAGGTAGATCACCTAACAAGGCTGTGAGATGAGACACCATTCAAAGGAATCAGATGGGTCATGACTGCTGCTTTGTTATATTCATTTCTCAGATCTATTTATATGAATGCTACTTTCGGAGAATGCATAGGAAGAGAAACTGAGAACTAAACTATCACCCCACTTCCAACATCAGTGAAGTCTTCATTACCTTTATTTATGTGGAGTGTCTTTGCCATTTCAAGTGAGGAGCTTCAGGAGTAACTTAGAGGGCTGATCTCAACTGTTCCTGATCTCCATCTGCAACACTTCTTAGCCAGAACTCCAATTTGCAAAGCAACACTAGTTTGTGGATAGCGTGGCTATGTAACTATAGAATAAAGCTAGTATATTCTATTTCTAAAGCCCTTTTTTGCCACTTATCACCTGTGTGATTCCAGCCAAGTCATTTAATGTTTCTATGCCTCGATTTCCTTATCTGTAAAATGGGAACAATAATAGTACCTATTTCAAAGGACTGCTGTGAGGATTAATTAACTCAACACTTAAAAAGCACTTAAAATGACATCTGGCCTAAAGCAAATATTCTGCATTTGTTATAAAATAATTATAAAATTAGGGGCGCCTGGGTGGCTCAGTGGGTTAAAGCCTCTGCCTTCGGCTCAGGTCATGATCCCAGCGTCCTGGGATCGAGCCCCGCACTGGGCTCTCTGCTCCGCGGGGAACCTGCTCCCTCTCTCTCTCTGCCTGCCTCTCTGCCTACTTGTGATCTCTGTCAAATAAATAAATAAAATCTTTTAAAAAATAATTATAAAATTAAATAGTATGGCAATTTTCTCACACCCTTCAGCATCAGGATTAGTCATATTTTTAGCTAACCCTGCAGCTGGAAAGAAAACTAAAGAAATTAAAAGGATTTTAAAGGCAGCAATTCATTGATTTAACCACTCAAAAGGGTGGAATAGGGATGCCTGGGTGGCTCAGTTGGTTGGACGACTGCCTTCGGCTCAGGTCATGATCCCGGGGTCCCGGGATCAAGTCCCACATGGGGCTCCCAGCTCCCTGGGGAGTCTGCTTCTCCGTCTGACCTTCTCCTCGCTCATGCTCTCTCTGTCTCTGTCTCAAATAAATAAATAAAATCTTGGGACGCCTGGGTGGCTCAGTTGGTTGGACGACTGCTTTCAGCTCAGGTCATGATCTCGGAGTCCCGGGATCGAGTCCCGCATCAGGCTCCCAGCTCTACGGGGAGTCTGCTTCTCCCTCTGACCTTCTCCTCGCTCATGCTCTCTCTCACTGCCTCTCTTTCAAATAAATAAATAAAATCTT